ATTGTATTTCTATACGATGATGATCCATCTGCAACAACATCATTGCTTCGATTAACAATAGACAAGAAAAGCCAAAAAACTGATGCAAAACATAAGTTTCTTTCCATCCATCAGTGAAAAATGATAAGATGAAGTCCATTCTGTAACACCCCACCTTTCCAAAACCCTAAAACCCGAAATTAATATGCCTAACTCGAGAATCCTTAGGTGATGTTATTACGTGATTTAATTATGTGAATTACATGAATCTAATTATATGGCTTATGTGTATATATATATATATATATATATATATATATATATATATAGAAATTTGGTGACTTATTTGAATGAAGTGATTTTGTATATTTATTTATATATGTGTGTGACCGTGTATATATGTGTGTGTTAAGTGCAAGTTGTCTTTTTTTTTTTTTTAAATAAATTAGTGTTAATAATGCATGTCTTTTCACTTGGCAATTTGCCATCATTTTTTATAATCCTACACTCAAAAGAGGATTAGTAATATGAAGAGACACTCTTCCTTCTCCCTTTTCTTCCACATACTCTTCTTACTTGTCTTCATTCCCCATTTCCACCGAAGCCACCACCTCCACCATCGGCTTCCTCTTCTTCCACCTCAACTCCAAATTTCCAAGAAAATCCCAAAATAAAAAATGAAGGTTCCCTATTTAACCATTGCCTTAGATTACACCAAAAATACCATCAAAACATCTTGCCTTCTCACGGGATATGATAACACATCCCTCTTAAAAGCTCACACCATCTCCTTCACAATCAAAATTTCTTGGCTAGACTTCGGTATTTGAAAGCTCTTTCCTTCAGTTGTTTTCCTTTCTTCGGTTATAAGGTAAGAAATTTCAGAGTTGATGTTTCCTGTGAGTTTCATGCAATCATGCTTAGTTAAATAAATTATGCATTTAATTGATGAAAACGAAATATAAAGAATTAAATTCAATAATGTTCTGAATTTTGGGCAATCAGAACAACTCAATTCATTAAATTACAAAATCGATTCGCAGCTAACCCTCGGTTGCTCGCCACTGAGAAGGAGAATAAATAATTACCTTAGAAATTTAGTTGTTCTCAGTCTTTGGGAATCCTCTAATTTTCTTTTTTATTTTCTTTTTTTTTATTTAATATATATTTAAAAATTAATACTGCCATCCCGCATTTAGAATTCTCTATATGATCGGGTTGGTTAGTTCTCAAATACCCGAACAACTTAGCAAAAATTATCATGTTATTAAAATTAAGAGGCAATTTAACTAAAAAATTCTCAACCTTAATGCTTGATTGGTTAAATTCCAAACTTTTTGGCTTCAACCAACCCTTTAATAGCTTATTTCATTACCGCCACCAATTCCTCTAGTTTTATAATGTCACCCTCTTGTTTATTTATCAATTCATCTTGTTTTTTTATTCGCTCGTTTTGGACGACTTCATTCTCACAGGCTTGTCGGACCATATTAACTTTTTCAACCGTCAACTCTTTTATGCTATTATCTTTCTCATCTTCCTTTGCCTTTCGGAGAGCTTCCTCTCGGTTGGATTCTTAGAGCTTCTTCGATTAGGTTGATTCTCTCTTGCAAGGCTTTCATATGGTAGGATTGTCAAATGGTTCCGATAAACAACATTGCTCCGACTCCGCGTTGCAATCTGGTGAAGTGTTTGCATTGAAAATCTATGGCCATTTGAAGGGGCATCCTCAAGAAGTATTGACTGACTCTGAAATCGAATATCGGCTTGGATACTTCAATCCACAACAAGACACAAAAGCAACCATCATCATAATGATGATTGCCTTTTCGTCCTTTTTGTGCTCCAACCCGATTGATATGGTGATGATGGAAGCGAGGAAGTTGAAAATGATAGTGACAATCAATCCTCGTCTCTTTCGGAACAAGGAAATTTCCTTCAAAGCGTGGCCCACACCATATCCTATACCAACACAAGCAAAGGTAGCAAAGGACGGGATGAATGGAAAGCTATCGGCCCAGCTCGTAAAGAAAACAAGCGAAGCTAGAATGGTGCCCGTAAACCCCTACAATGATAAGATGATGATGTTGTGGGGGATTACGGGCAGCATTGTAGCTTCGATTATGTTTCTTTTGCATACGAGGTCCGATATCTTTCCATTCATCCCGTCTATTGCTACCCTTGATTGTGTTGATATAGGATATGGTGTGGGCAATGCTTTGAAGGAGACTCCCTTGTTCTGAAAGAAACGAGGATTGATTGTCACTATCATTTTCAACTTCCTCGCTTCCATCATCACCATATCAATCGGGTTGGAGCACAAAAAAATGCAATCATCATTATGATGATGGTTGACTTTTGCGTCTTCTCGTGGAGGGAAGTATCTAATCCACGATCATCGATTCGATC